TGATAACTACACACCAGTTTTATTTATAAAATGTACATAACATACAATATGCACATTTAAAGTGAGTAATTTGATGGGTTTTTAGTATATTCACAGCATTGTGCTATCACAACAATTTTAAAACACATCATCACCAATACCCATTAGCAATTATTCCCTATTCCTGCCAGTCCTAGGTAAACACTAATGTACTTTCAGTGTCTACAGATTTGCCAATTCTAGACATTTCATATAAGTGGAAACACAAAATATGTGTCTTCCGTGACTGCTGCTTTCACTTTGCATAATGTTTTTAAGGTTCATCCACATTGTAGTATGTATTAGTTCTTCATTTATTTTCATTGCCAAATAATATTCCACTGTATAGAAATACCACATTTTAGGACTTTCCTGGTGCTCCAGTGGTTGAGACTCTGTGCTTCCACTGCAGGGGACATGGGTTCTACCCCTGGTTGGGTAAGTTCTGCATGCTGCACAATGTGGCCAAAAAATAAAATTGTGTTCCCCTCACCACTGTGTCAATAAATAATAAAAGTGGATTTTTTTTTTTAAGAACCAACTTCTTTTAGAAAACAAGAAATATCACATCTTAGTTGATGTCTTTAGAGACTATAATGTGTCCAAAACAAAATCTTTATTTCTTCTCCTAAACCTCCTACTTTCGGATGTCCCCACATTAGTAAATGATGCGATCATGCACCTAGTTGCTCAGGCCAAAAGCTTTGAAGTTATCCTGTATTCTCATAACAGCAAATTCTGTTGGTTGTACCTTCAAAATTCCATGTCCAGCTATTTTCAACCTTCTCTGTAGTTACTACCTCCTAGTCTAAACCACTGCCATCTTTCTTCTGCAACTGTTATAAAAACCTAACTGGTATCCTGCTGCTGCTTCCACTTCTGTTCCCCACAGAGCAGCCAGAGTGATCCATTTAATACTTGTATCAACTTGTGTTCCACCCCTGCTCAACACCATCTAATGGCTGCCCATCCAAAGCACCAAAATCCAAAGCACCAAAAGCAATCTGCTCCTTGCCTACATCTCCTCTTTTACTCTAGCTCTAGCTACCCTGACTGTCTTGCTTTTTCTCAGATACACTATAAATATATTCCTGCTTTGCATCTGCTGTTCCCTCTGTGCCTGGACCAGTTCTCCCCGGGGTAGCAGATTAGCTTACTCCCCACCTTATTCAGATCTCTGCTCAAACATTTCAGGGCAAAGGAGCAGGCAGGCCTGGGAAGAGTATCACTGTTAGGTTTCTTGGGCAGCCAACCCAAGAAAGGATTGAGCTTAGTTAATTCCCTGGTATTCTCAATCTGGTCCATTGGAGGGTGCTAATGGCATATGTATTAAACCCAGATAGATCTGTCGTTTCACTTTTTATAATGGCCATTCTCCATACAATCTTGCTTAAGCACTGACAAATTTTACAGTGTTATTCCAGTATATCTCATCTCTCATACTCTGAAAAGATTTAGATCTTCCCTTGAAAAATTCAGACATAAATAAGAAAAAAAGACCGAAAGACTAGGAATAAACAAGTAATTCAGGTTCTCTTCTCTCCTCACTTCCCCCCTCCAATGTGCTCTTCTCTCTGTATTTGCTTCTCTGTAAATGGCACCATCCTTTACTCAGGAATTTGGGATTCATCCTTAGTTCTCTCCTCACCTTCACTTCCCACATTCAGTATCATTTGTCTCTTCAGCCCCTCTCCATTCACACGGCCCTGCCTTTGATCAGGCCTCTCAAGTCTGCTGGATTCCCTGGTTGCCTGGATTACCGCAGCCCTACAGTCTTCCTCTCCACTTCAGTTCAATCTCCAGTTACTTCTTTCCGAATCCCAAATCTAACAATAGCATTTCCCTGCTTAAATCAAACATTCCCTCTTTGCCTTCATGAAACCTCAACACTTCAGCATGACTTGCAAGTCTTTCGGGGACCCCAGCAACCAGAACAGCCTCATGTCTTGCCATTCCACGAGGGTTCCAAATCAGCCTTATTTGCAGTCTCTCCTTAGGTAGTTTTGTTGTTGTTGTTGTTTGCTTTTTTTTTTAAATATGGACTTCCAGACCCAAGTGCAAAGATGTTGATTCAACTGGAGTGAAAGAGGGCTGAGGAAATCAGCCCTGTATTTTTATAAAAATAATGGTAAAGAACCTGCCTGCCAATGAGACATGAGTTTGCTCCCTGGGTAGGGGAGATCCCCTGGAGGAGAGCATGGTAACCCACTCCAGTGTTCTTGCCTGGAGAATCCCAGGGACAGAGAAGCCTGGCAGGCTACAAAGAGCTGAAAAGAGTCGGATGCGGCTGAGCACAGCACAACTGGCTTTCGTCCCCTCCAACTTTAACTTTCTGTGCCTTCTCTCTTTTCACTGTTCATGGGATTCTCTCTTGGTTCTCCTCCTTACCACTCTGATCATTTGTATCTGTGGCCCTTGCCAGCTTTTCCTCAGTTTCTGTTCTGGGGCCTCTTTTCTACTTTTTTCAATGATTCCATCTAATCCCACAACTTCACTTATATTTTTGTGTGTGTATGCTAAGTCGCTTCAGTCGTGTCCAGTTCTTTGTGACCCTATGGACTGTAGCCCACCAGGCTTCCCTGTCCATGGGACTCTCCAGACTAGAATACTAAAGTGAGTTGCCATGCCCTCCTCCAGGGTATCTTCCCAACCTGGGGCTCAAACCTGCGTCTCTTACATCTGCACTGGCAGGTCGGTTCTTTACCACTAGGACCACCTAGGAAATCCATATTTATGTGAAGAAGTCCAAATTTTATTCATATTTGGCTTCTAAATCTATCCCAAACTCCAGATCTATATGTCCTATAATGCTAAAATTTCAGGTATGGAGATCTCAGAGTTCACTTATCCTAAGACTTCATTGCCTGGATATCTCCACCAAATGGCTCACTGGCTTTGAAAAAGTCAGTGTTTTCAAAATTGAACACCTCATTTTCTATCTACTTCCAATTTCATTTCCAAATTGATTCCTTTCCTTGAATTTGTTTCTACAAATAGTCACCTTGAGGCACATCGCCTCCTCATTCCCTATATTCAGTTAGCTGCTAATCTAGTAGATTCCATTGCCACAGACTTTCTCAATTAGAATCACTGTTTTCTATTCTAAACTACCTCGTTTGTAGATTAAATCCTAATTACTTCCCAACCAGAGTATTGCAGAGGACTCCTAGCTAGATTATCCCCCTCTAGTATCTTTCTGTTTGGAATTCTAAATGATTTTTTATTCATTACCACTAGATTAATCTTCCTTAAGAACAATTCTGATCTGCCACTCTCTGGCCTAAAACCCTTAAACGTCTCTCCTAGATAACTAAATTATCCACTAGTTTCTTACCCTGACACTCAAAGTCCTCCATGTTCTGGACTCAGTTCTATTTTTTTAGCTTTCATGATGACCCCATCACCTAGAATACCCTTCCGTCACCTTTACCTGGCAAAATAAAAGCTGATTTCAAATACACACCTCCATTATTAAGTCTTCTCTTTGGGGGGGGGGGGTGTGCTTAGTCACTCAGTCATGTCCAACTCTTGCAACCCCATAGCTTGTATGTAACCTGCCAGGCTCCTCTGTCCATGGGATTCTCCAGGCAAGAATACTGGAGCGGGTTGCCATTTGCTGAATATGAACCTTCCTTTGAAGCCCTTTACCACTTTATTAACACTTTAATTTCAAGCTGACCAGATTTGCCTTGCTTATCTGTGTATTCTAAGATACTCAAATTTTTCCACTAGAATGTACCTAATTATACAGAAAAATGGATAGCCCTAAGGCTATCTGTCACAATAGGTTCCCTGGAAAATTAAAATTTAATATCAATTTTTCAGTGTTATTAGCATTAGACGGCTTTAATATAAAAATGACGTTCTTTGACTAACACTCTAGGAAGATGGGGCTTCCCTGGTGGCTCAGAGGTTAAAGCAACTGCCTGCAGTGCAGGAGACCTCGGTTCGATCCCTAGGTCAGGAAGATGCCCTGGAGAAGGAAATGGCAAACCATTCCACTATTCTTGCCTGGAGAATCCCATGGACGGAGGAGCCTGGTGGGCTACAGTCCACGGGGTCGCAAAGAGTCGGACACGACTGAGCAACTTCACTAGGAAGATGAGTCTGTTTTAATCTTGAGGATTTAGGGTACTCCTGGCATACTGGGAAAATCCTCTATGGCAAAGACTGCCTTACTACATATATATTCCATGTAAAACTAAAACAGTACCACCTTCAAACACTCAATATATTCGCGAGTATTTACGCAGTGTTTACCATGTACCTAGACCTGTGCTGTTTCAAGGAGCTCAGTCTCCATGGGATGACCCTAAACAAACAAAAAAACTGTACATTAAGAGTTAAACGCTGAAACGTAAGCCATCCATGTTCTGCTAGACCATTCAGTCTCCATTCTACACCCTAAATGACACAGTGGAAGTGAGGAGGACCACTTTAAAGTCCACTCTGACCTCCAGATTATTTTCTGGAGATTGATAATTTTCTGCTAACACTGCCCGAAGCTTAATCCTCTTCACCTGGAAATAAAAGGTTTCCATCCTTTTGCTCTCCAATTCGAAGCTCAGAAAAGTCCCCTGGGGTCGACGAGTCAGGGCGGCAGAAAGTCTGACCCCCGCAAAAGGAGCAAAAATGCCAAAGCTACCAGCACCACCCCTTAACCTCCCCCACGTGCTTCCAATTGGTCCTTGTGAGTCACTCTCTTCCCAGATTGGCGTTCCAGCTTGCCCGTCGCCTCCATAGAACCCACATTTAGCCAGCAACTATTGGTATATCGTTACGTAATTGCCCTATCCACCCCGCTCCCATTGGCTTCCATAGGAAGGGGCGGTCGCAACGTCATAGGCAAGGGCCGCCATTTTGACTGAGCAATCCTAGTGACAGGAGCTGAAGAAGCAGCGCTGGTTGTCCCGTTTCCCCTCCCCCTTCCCTTCTCCGGCTGACCTCCCGGGCCCCCCACACTCCACAGTCCCGGTCCCACCATGTCCCAGAAACAAGAAGAGGAGAACCCTACGGAAGAGACCGGCGAGGAGAAGCAGGTGAAATGGAGGGGGTGCGGTGGGCGAGTTGGGGGCGACTGTGATGGGGCGGGAGGCGGTCTCCCACCAGTGCGGATTGGTCGCCATGGTCTCGGGCTCTGCAGGGGTTGGCCACGTCTTGCGTCATGCAGGGTGAGTTTCAACATGGCCTGCTGCTTTGGTTCTGGTTAGTTGGCTGGATTGTCAATCAGTGTAGTACCCTTCCTGATTGGTCAGTAGGCCTACAGCTAGATGTATTGAAGTTGTGCTGTAATTGGCCGAAGCTGAGCGTGGGGCGGGTGTTTGGAAAGAGTGGGTGAATGAAAGGGGGTTGGTGGTCTCGGGATGAGATGTATGTTATTGGTTAGTAGGGGTAAAATGAAACAACAGCTAGGCTGGGTCCTTCATTCTATATCTTTAGAAAGATACAGATCAAGATACAGACCTTTAAAAAGGGATCAGCAGTGGGGGAAGGGAGAAGAGTAATTATTATCATGGCTAATTTAAGGCGGCAACTTTCTCAAAGAGACCTATTTTGATCGCTGGAGATGGTCTGTTGCCCACCTTCAAAGAGGACCTTACAAAATTGAAGAGGGCTAGAGTTTCAAACAGAATAATGGAGGTTAAACCTAAGAAAGACCCCTAGAGAGTCGTGAAAAGAAAGACGCAACCATATTTCCTCCCCGACTTCTAAGGTAGTGGGGACTTATTTCACCGGCAATTCTGTGATGAAAATACGCCAACTTATTTAGGTGTTTTGTATTTGATTTATAACATTTAGTACTGGACTCGGGTTCATAAAATACCCCTGGGTTATATTCGGGCCAGGTTTTCAAGGCAAGGGAATGTAATTCCACTAAAAAGAACCACAAATTGGCTTCATTACCTTTTTTAAAAAGTCATTAAAGAAAAGGGCGGCAGGGCCCACAAAAAGGAAGCAGAGAGTAACAACAGTAAGAGACCCTGCAAGTTAATTGGACTCTTGGCATGTTTCCCAAATCTCCATCACTAGGGAAGGTGTTGATTTTTTTGGCAGAGCTGGTGGGTAAATACTAGTGAACCCACTGTATCTTAATTTTCCTGAGATTAATCTGTTTACTTGTCACCTTCCTACTACAATGTGTATGGAAACAGTGCTGTCCATTATTGCTGTCCAGTGCTGACCATTGCTAAGGTGGAGCTTTCTGGGGAAGGCCACAGTGCTAGCTTCCATAGATTTATCAAAAGGCCAGCTTAGGAGGGAACATCTCAGCATTTATCCCTTTTGATTTCCCATTTGACCTGTACTGTGTTTTACAGACAGCTAGGGATTTCCCTACTAATCTTGCAACACCAGAATCCCTGCTAGCTCTTTTCTGTCTTTCTTAGCTTCTGTTCTTAGTGAGCTACTGCTTGCTGTTTGATTAAGTATTGTTCTTTGGTATTACCTTTAACCCAATACTCACAGGTCACCGGGGTGGTTCCCTGGCTGTAGTGTGACAAACAACTTATCTTTTTTTCTCACAATACAGTCATCTTGAGCTTTAGGGATTTGAACAAAGATCTGGCTTTATTTAAGATTGTGAATAGCATGTTTACAAATGGGTAGATCTCCAGGAAAAGGTAATAGTGTAAAAGTTAGCAGATATTAGAAGCAGCTGCTTCTCAGTGTTTAATTTTACTGGCCCCATTTGTTTCCTCCAGGACACCCAAGAGAAAGAAGGTATTCTCCCTGAGAGAGCTGAGGAGGCAAAGCTAAAAGCCAAATATCCAAGCCTAGGACAAAAGCCTGGAGGCTCCGACTTCCTCATGAAGAGACTCCAGAAAGGGGTATGGAGCACAATCTCTTACCCTTTTACTTGGAACCAAAGGGGCCTTAGGGATGAGATCTGTGGAAGTTCTGCTGAACACTGATATGAAAGTTTTGTTGTTGGGCAGTAGTAAAGAAAAATTAGAAACTTGTTAAAAAAAAACCCAAGACAAATACCGTAAGTTCCTGAAAGGGTATCATTTATTTTCTGATTTCCCTCAGGATACTAAGGCTTAATGGAGGGGCATTTAGGAATGGCCTTGGGAGAGTGAGGCAAGGATGTCAGAGTCTGGGAACCTGACAGCCTCCATACGTTTGCCTGTTTGGATGGTGGCAGTTTTAGGACTGCAGATACAGGATTAGAGCTAAATTTTGAGGTGCATCATTTCAAAAGAAAGGCCATCTGTCCTACAGATTTCCTCAACTTGAAATGATTTTTTCAGACCCTTGAAGTTAGCACCAGCCATTAACTATGCTCCTGAAGAGACTTACTTTTCCAGTCCAGAGTGGTCCTTCTCCCAATGGAGAGTCTTACCTTCATAGCCTTCCAGCTCCTCTTTGGGTTCCTCAGTCCTCAGAGGTACCTAAAACTGACTGAGCAGTTGTCAGTCATTAACCTGGAGTGTATTTCTCTATGCGGATGAAATGGAGAGGGAAACAGATCCCTGTGGAGAATCCCAGTTAGAGTCTTAGTCACAGATGATGTGATGCTGATTTGCAGTTTACCTTGCTGTAAGCAAGACAGGCGTGGGCAGGCTGTCACAGCCATGGAACATGTGTGGGCGTGGTTGGAGTCAGAGGAAAGTACATTATCCTCAGGAACAAGCCCAGTTTCTATTCATAGTCAGAGAATAATTTCTTATTTTGAGGTTGATCTCCTACTGATAGCCCCAGGTTGACCCTTTATATATATCTTATTCATTTCTGTTTCCCCAGCACCAAGCCCATTGGAGGCTTATAGGTCCTTTATAAACCTTTGGGATTAAAGTCAGTAATATGGTTGAAGCATTGGGGACTCATGGGGCTACTAAAGGCTATAGGAGCTATATTTCTTAACTCCAAAAATATACACCCTAGCTGGGAAACTGCTTACAAATGTCAAAAAGTCAGAAGACACTGGGAAGAAAGCATAATTAAATATAGTTAATACTAAGCTGTGTATACATGAGGCTAATCAAAAAAGACTTGAAAGATCTGAGTTTGGATGCAGGTTTATAGGGTTTATGGTGGACCTGAGTCTCCTTGCTTTTGAGGAAGACCAGAGCTCCTCACTCACCAAAACCTCCCTTTTGTCTCTTAGCAAAAGTACTTTGACTCAGGAGACTACAACATGGCCAAAGCCAAGATGAAGAATAAGCAGCTGCCCAGTGCAGGACCAGACAAGAACCTGGTGACCGGTGACCACATCCCCACCCCACAGGATCTGCCCCAGAGAAAGTCCTCGCTCGTCACCAGCAAGCTTGCGGGGTAACCTGGCCCCCTCTGCTCCCCTTCTCACCCATTGGACTTTTCTATGTCATAGGCAGGGATAGAGTGGGCACCTAGTTGTCTATTCTCAGCTTGCTCGCCAGAAATGACTATGCTGCTTCTGGGGGCTGCTGAGAATGTAAGATGGGCTAAAGAGAGGCTCTGAGTTCACTGCTTTGGTTAAACTGAGATTTCCACACCCTCATGTGGCCCAAGTAGGGGCTCAGAAATAGGAGCCTAGGATTGGATAATGCTGCAGACTTTCTTTTTCATTTGTATGAGAAACTGGGGAGATGTCATTTCTCCTTTTGGAAGAGAATGTGTCCCAAAATAGGTGAGGCTAAGCCTTGGGAATAATATGACAGGTTTAACACCCCAAGGCTAACCTGATATGATTGGGAAAGATAGATTGAATGAGATCTGTTTTCTGTGCTTTAAGTGTTTTGTCCTTTGGGCTGCTATTGCTTTCATGTTTTCATTATGGCAGGTTTAGCAAATCCTCAAAAAGAAAAACTGATGTGCTTGCCTAAAACTATAATGCCCACCTAACCTTCTTTACTCAGTGTCTTTTACCATTTGCCCTGGAGGATATTATTCATGTAAAATGGGCACCTTCTCTCTCTCTTCCAGCATGTTGCTTTTTGAAAGTATCATGGGAAAGTGGAAAGAACACTGGGTTAGCAGTCAGGATATCTGGGTTCTGTTTCCATTCAGTTCTAGACAGAACTGACCTGTAGCCTTGGTCAAGTCACTTCACCTCTCTGGATTTCTGCTTCCCCATCTGTAATATAGATCCAAATGTAGATCAGATTGATTCTAACATCCCGAAGAACTCTGTGCTGTTCATTGTAAAACCAAAAGTGAGGAAGGACCATAGGTGAGAGTACGGAGAACTCATTGAAGACCACATGAGGAGAGAAGTTGAGATTTAGGGATTATAAATTCAGGCAGGAGGACCTCATAAGTGTCATGGTCTTAAGGGTCAAGAAAAAAAAAATTCTAAGAAGCTAGCCATGAAAGCGCTTGCCTCTGCTCTCCCTTCTTTCCTACAATCTGGGCCTTGGCTGCTAAAAGGCTGCTCTGGGAGCCAGGCTGTGCGCCTGAAGAAGCATGCTCAGTCATGCTCGTGTGGAGTCCCACATTTCAGATGTTCTCAGCTCCCAGGTGTATCATTAGGGAGACAGGAAGGAAAGGGAAGAACAGTCACTCCGGGGCTTAGTGCTGCTGTGGGGCTGGGGCAGCAGGTTCTCAGGAGATGATTCACCTTGGAGAAAGCTGGGGAACGCGGTTAGGGAGAAATAGAAGGAGCACTGAGAAATCTCTGCCTTCCTGGAGCTCAGCTCCTGTGCTCTGAGAGGTAGCAACGCTGATCATGAACCAGGTAGAGGAAAGAGGGGCTGCGGGTGGCCAGCATCATCTATCTGATTATCACTAGCTCGGCCTGAACCATACTGAATGCAATCTGCTAGTTAGGACAGAGAGGGCCAAGTGAGAGCTAGCAATTCAAGAGAGGAAGAGTCTGTCTTTGGTCTTCTCTCGACCTCTCAGCCCACAAGTTCTGATATGCCACACATCTGGCCCAGTGAGGACAACTGATGAACGTGCTGGTGCGCATGTGGGGCGTTGGGGTGTGTCTACACTTCTTTCCTGACCAGCCATTCACTTTTCAGGTCATCATTCAGATTGGGTAGGAAAAAGTTGGTGAGGAAGGAATGGAGAGAGCAGGATGCCGTGATTCCCTGGCCCCTAGGGCAACTCCTTGACTGTCACTTGTAACTGTATATAATTTTTGTGTTTCTTGCTTCATTTCCTCATGCTGTCTTCCTTAGTCTAAAGTCCATGTGGGAAGGGGAAAATGCTGAATATCTTTGTATAGTTTCCTCAACTGTCCCAGACATGTTGTACATAGATATGTCATGTTATTATATATATAAATATATATATAATTTTGTACGTTTTCTTCATCTCCGATCTTCTCGAATTTTGTACTCTTTTTTTTGTCTCAGCTGCTCTCTCTATCAGTCAGTGTGAATCCTCAAGATTGGAATCACAGTGAGTCTCAGTTTTAGGAAGGAATAGAATAGGGAGTAGAAATAGGGAAATCAGAAAGACTATTGGTCTCTCTTTCCACCCGGTCATCTTCAAAGCTAAGGAAACAAAGAAACAAGCTCCTTTTTGTAGATGCCACCTGCTTCCACAGCATGAAGTGCATAGCTTCCATGGCAAAAAAGGGTCATTTTGAAATTCAGCTTGCTTTGATTAAACTTAGAGTATTAGGTCCATTCAAAACAACACATGTGTTGTCTGGCCCTGGCCTCCATGCAGCTGCCACCTCGTCACTCTCCGCCCCCCAACGCCAATCCGTCCGTCTCCACTGTGGCAAGTGGCTCTGGCCATGCCCCTGAAACTAGCCTGCTCTGAAAACCTCGTTATTTTGATCTTGTCTAAAGAATTTCTTTCTTTGTTTTCTTGGGTATCTCCAAAAAGACAAGAGAACAATTTTGTAACTAGGCGAAGACTGAAATTTTCCTTTTCTTTTAAAAAAAAAAAAAAAAGACTCTCTGGATAGGACTAAGACATGTGCCATGTATCCCCAGTGATTGACAAGTGTGGAAGAATGATGGGGTAGAGACCGGGGTGGAACGTAGGCTTTTTCCCTTACTACTTGACAGTGTTTTCTTTCTCTTCTGTGTTCGTCCGCAGTGGCCAAGTCGAATGATGCTGCCCGGGGCTCCGCCAGATCCTGAGACGCTGCCCCCTGGGTCCTGTGCTGGCTCCTGCCCCTCCCTGCTTTTGCAGCCAGGGGTCAGGAGGTGGCTCGGGTGCGGGCTGGAGAGGCAGAAGCCCCTGCCCGTCGGTGTCCCAGCGCATGGAGCCCCTTGGGCCGAGCACCAAGACCTTGACTCTTTTTTGTTTCTCCTTGTTTTTTTCCAAGTAATTGTTGGGAGACATCTCAGTGAAATCCTGGGGGTGGGGGGGGGTGGGTTGGGGTGGGGGGTTGCGAGGGTGGAGTGGGAGATGTGAGGGGTTATGAATTAGGACTTAGAGCTGATAACAAAAACATTCCTAACTATCCTCCTCCTTGGCCTTGTGGCTGGGGTGGAGTGGGGGTGGGGTGGGGGGTGACGCGGACTAAAGGTGAGGGGTTCTAATTGAGCTGTGTAGAAGAGTGCCTTGCTAGCTTGTCTATGACTGGGGACCTGATGTCAGATAAAAGAAACCGTCTAAATATGAAAGATGCAGATGACTCCTCTGGTTCTGCAGAACAGGCTAAGAACTGAATGTTTATTGTTTGGGTGGGGAAAAAGTGCTGTCCTTGAAGTAGATTTGCTGCGGGAAGAAGGGCAGTGAGTGTGGGAGAAAGGGGATGAGTGTGGGGAGCACCGCAGAGCCCAGGGGCCTTTTTCAGTATTTGAAATAAAAAACAAACAAGAAGATCCACAGAAAAAAAAAACAAACCAACCCAGAAATTCTCTGCAGCCGTTGGTGTGTTTTATTGGGGTTTGGCGAAAGGGAAGAAAATAAGACTGAAGACAGCATTCAGGAGAAGCTGGTGTGGGGTTCTGAGCCCCTGAGGAACAGGGGCCCTTCAGATGGGGTGTGTCTGGGTTCCCCGTTTCCATCATTTAGGGAGAGGGTGCAGGGACGTTGGCATATAGACCAGGACTTCTATAGCTAATGCAAAGATGACTCTTCCTCAGGTTCTGACTCACAAAATGAGGGGTTTGCGGTGTTTGATCTGAAGGGTTTATTGACACCTGAAGATTACTCCAGGCTAAGCATGAAAGGAAGCCAGTCTGTTTTCCCTTTCAGTCTTGCTTTCCTTCTCAAGTTCCTGTGTCTCTGGAGAATTGTAACCACCAATGATCAGCCTTTCTGCTAGTAGCCAGCAGGAGGCAGAGTCACTTCTTTCCTCATGATGTGCTAACCATTGCTGGAATCCTGCCACTGCAAGGGGTTTAAAACTATCTGTGAGTGTAATATACAAAAGAAGTGTTGCCAAAGGAGAAACAGACTCACACTTTTCTTCTGTCACACTCACACCAATCTACTATGTTTGAAGATGGAAACTTGCCCATTTGCCCAAGGAGATTTTAGGCATAAAGGAGATGTTATGATTAGGAGATTTTACCATGGTTATCTTCTCAAATGAGCATGCATCAAGGAAGACAGAATCCTGGCGACAATAGATATTCTAGAGAAATTTCTATCACATTAAGAGGGTGGAGTACTTTTAAACTAGAGAAGGAATGTTGTTCTCAGTGTGTGATTCATGCTCTCTTCTTAATCAGAAACTTTCCAAATAAGTTTTCAGCTTCCCAGGAAGCTGACTTGCTCTCTCCTAATTTAGTCAGGGGACTGCGATGCCTCCTAACCATCAGCCTTTCTGAACAGCGTGCTAGACACTGAACTAGGTGGTTTGGAGATACATTAGAGAAAGGCATGCCCCACCTTTAATGGGGTTTCTTATCTAACTGGAAGTAAATACATGAAAAAGTTCATACACTTCAGTAGCATAAACTTACATCTTAAAGCTAGGAGATGTATGAGTGTTCATTATGATGGGGTTTCTGAGTCTTATTCCCCTTGAACCAGTCCCATGACCTCTTTATGAGCACATTGTCCCTACTTTTGTGTTTGCCAAGTGGCAACAGCTGGGCAATAAGGTCAACAAGGCTCCAAATGTGGAGGCATCTAGTTAAGTTCCATTTAGTATAAAGAGAAGGGACGTTGACATAGAAATAAGTTATTTATTAGGTGGCAGTGCTAGTTTACTGAAGACCTTGAGTTAACATCTCTTAACATTTAGGCTTTTACATGCTTTTTCCATTACTCTTGGCTTTCCTGGTCCTTAAGTTTAAGCTGTAGCCTTAGGAATCCTGGGGTGCCCAGAAATGGTCATTGCTGTTTCTGTTCCAGCTTAAAACCTGCCTTTCCTTTTTCTTTACTCCCATACGACAGGGCTAGGCAGTCAGGAAGCCTGATTCTTCAGTGCTTCCAAAAGCTGTTCTTGCCCATTGTTTTAGCTTAGTGTTTTATCTTTAATCCAAAGAGTGGATTCAAGGGTTCTGCCACTCCTCCAGCATGGTGGAGTGATAATTGTGTTGACATGTCTCTCAGTTGAGCTGTCTGATATGCAGGGTGGCAGGCATGAAGTCACCACTATTGTCCAGCCACATTTATTTTAAGCTGATGTGGCCTGAGCGTGGAAAGCACAAGCAAAAGAAAAAGCCGGGAGAATTGCCATTGACGATCGCGCCTGTCGGTCTGCCGGCCACACCCACACGCAGCCCTCGTGTACAGTGCCCTTTGCTGGACCTGGAGGGAGGTCAACAAGGAAAAGAAAGATCTCTTCCCTCGGAAGCTACGGTATGACAGTGACATGCAAATAAACAAATTAATGTAGTAAGATCCCACAAAGCATATGGGATCTTAATTCCCTGACCAAGGATCAAGCCCATGCCTCCTGTGGTGGAAGCACGCAGTCTTAACCACTGGGCCACCAGGAAGGTGTCCAGATTACTGTAGTTCTAAGCAGAATGCCTGTGAACTAAGAGGAGGGTCAGGAGATGAGTTGTTGGCTGCATTTCCTTAGAGATGGATGACTTACTTAAAAAGGCCCCTCATGCTTGGGCAGTGATATTTTAATTCACAAGTAACTGTTGAACTCTGACTTTGGGGAAATACTAGCAGTTTTTGACTCTGCAATTGGAAGAATACTAGCAGTTATTGGGCAAATGAGCAGTGTAAGAGATGGTGTCTGCCCTGGAAGAACTTGAAGCCTCACTGAGACAGCACTTTTACATATAATGCAAGATAGTGGTAAAGGAATTCTGAGAAGGGAAAATTCAAAGGGCTGGAATCATGAGGTAAATATTAGTGGAAGAAATGGAAATTGAACTGGGCCTTAAAAGATGGGTAGTATTAAATAATCTAGTTCAATTATTGATAAGTGCCTATAATATGCCCCTGGAGTAGGAAATGGAAACCCACTCCAGTATTCTTGCCTGGGAAATTCTATGGACAGAAGACCCTGGTAGGCCACAGTCCATGGGGTCGCAAAAGAGTGAGACACCACTTAGTGACTAAACAAACAGCTTTCAAGGAGATTCCACTCTGGTGGGGAAACTACACATGGGAAATCATGCTACTGTGTTCAACTTGCAGCCGTAGAAGCTTAGCTACATAGAGGAATAGGGACAAGTATTTAGTAGTAGTTACATCTAGCCCATTGCTAAATCCTTAATTTACATCATTTCATTTAATCCTCACAACAATTCTACAAAGTAGATAGTATTGCCATTATACAGGTAAGAAAACTAAATCAGTAACTTGGCTTCAGTAACAAATCACACAGCTTCTGAGAGTGGAGGCAGAATCCTAGTGCCTGCAATGGGATGGCAAAAAGAGTTATCTGGAAACGCTTCTACTACCTGGCCTGGTTCAATCTCTGGTTAGGAAATTAAGATCTCACAAGCCACACGGGACACCCCAAAAGAAAGTAATCAGGAAAAGTTTCATGGAGCAAATTCTGAAGGAGAAACAATTTTTTCTAGAAAGATGCGAAAGGGCATTTTGGTTGAAGGACCAACACTGAGAGAAGGATGAGGCAATGTGGAATCTGCTGATTTTGCAGTACAGTATCAAGTGAGTCCTGGGGAGGGACTGGAGACCAGGCCACAAAGGCAGACAGAAGGATATGATTTGCAGGCAGGCATAGGAACCATGGAGGTGAAATAGGTCACTGCCAAATCGTGTGGAGATGAAATTTAGTTGTTTAGTCACTCAGTCGTGTCCAACTCTTTGTGACCCTATGGACTGCAGCATGCCAGGCTTCCCTGTCCTTCACCATCTCCCAGAGCTTGCTCAAACTCACGTCCATTGAGTCAGTGATGCCATCCAACCATCTCATCCTCTGTCATCCCCTTCTGCCCTTAATCTTTCCCACCATCAGGATCTTTTCCAATGAGATTTAGAAGTGATAGATTTAGTGATGGACGGGTTCTAGCATCAAGTTTCCTGGTTTTGAATCCTGATTTTTATACATTTGAATGACTTGAGACAAGCTTCTTAAACTCTTTGCTTCAGTTTACTTATAAAATAGGAATGATGTAGTACCCACTGTACAGGATTGCTGTGATGATTAAAGATAGAACATGTAAAGCCCTTACTTCAGGGATTGCAGCAGTGCCTAAGATATGGTTCCTGCCCGGGGAGCTTATAGACCATTGAGGGATATACTGAAGATAGGTAGACTGACAATAATTAGAGTACAAGGATTCAGAGCTAAGATAGGGAAGAGCATAAAATTCTCTGGAAGTACAGAGGCTGGGCACCTAATCTGAGCAAATGGGAGAACAGCCAGGAAAATCCTTACACAGAGAGTAGCTTCTGAGCTGAAATATGATGGAGTAGTAGGACTTAGGGAAAGGGGTTAGATTGGGAAAGGGGGCCTTCCAGGTGGAAGGAACAGTCTGAAAAGATGCAGAGGTATTACATTCTGAAAACTTAAAATAATTGAGTAACTGTAACATAGTATGCAAGGAATGAGGCTGGAGCTGGGTGGAGGTAACCAAGGGTTAGGTCACAAAGGGCCCATTAGGCTTCATCCTAGAGTCAGTGTGAAGCTGCTGAATAAAGATTTTGAGCAAGGCAGTGACATGGTCAGATTGGCCCCTTAGAATAATCTTTCTGATTGTTGGGTCAGGAGGAGACTAGAGATGGTAAAATGGGTGTATTAAAGATACTACTAATGGGATGGAAAAATTGGGAAAGGGAAAGGCTACTGTCAAAAGGAAGATGATGAATTCAATTTGAGACATAAGTTTAACATCTAAGTGGAGAATTCTGTACTTGTAAACTGTTAACCATGGGTTAGTTGAGGTACAATAATAGCCTGTATGTAGCTACAGTACTATAGGTTAGATATGATGAGGAAATAAGGTAATGATAGTGGGGATGAAGACTGAACAGGCTCAAGAGATAGATGAGAAGTACAATCAACAGAATCTGATGTGAGGAGTGGGACTTGGGAAGAGACAGGACTCTATTAAAAAATCCTGAGGTAAACTATGATGCCGTAATCCAGACAGAGAATACAGCTGGAAGAGAAAGTTTGGCATGGAAGACAATGAGTTCATTTTACAGTAGAGTTGATGTGAGTTCATTTTACAGTAGAGTTGATGTGAGGTGCCTGTAGGACATCCAAGAGTAGGTTACTAGATTTCTGTTAAGTTACTGGATTTATGCATCTAGAGGTTGGAGAAAATTTCAGAATAGGAGATACAAATTCTGTAGGCCTCAGGATACACTAGTAAAGCCATGGACATATAAGTACAGAGATCAGAAAGACTGACAAACTGACCCGATGAAGGCTGACACCTGAAGGAAACACAAACAGGCTCACAGAATAGAGTCAGGATGATGTGGTGCCCAAGGACAGAGTTAATGGAGAAACTGAATCGGTCGTTTAAATCTCACTGTGTGATTAAGTGTTAGTCGCTCAGTTGCATCCAACTCTTTGCAACCTAGTAGTCTGTAGCCTACCAGCCTCCTCTCTATGGGATTTTCTTGGCAAGAATACTGGGGTGGGTTGCCATTCCCTTCTCCAGGGGATCTTCCCAACCCAGGGATTGAACCCGCGTCTCCTGCATTTCAGGTAGATTCTTTACCATCTGAGCCACCAGGGCACCCCCAAATTTCAGGAAAGCAGCATGCCAAAATTGTGAATAACTGTCAGGATTATGGTTTAAGGAGTGTATGTTTCTACTTTCTGTACTTTTCAAGATTTTGACAATGAGCGTCTATTTGATAATTAGAGGTACTTTTAATTCTAAAAAGAATAAAATCACAATTTTTTTTTTCTTTTTGATGGACAAAAGGGTGTCAATTTGGTTTACCATTTAGTAATCTTTTGGGACCAGTTGCACTGTATTGGTAGAGGTAGAATCTTGCTTGTAAATCTGAGTGGTGTGTGGTTTTGTTGTCTGTTGTTGTTTTAGAATGGGAATGATAGGCATGTATATTTACCAAGTAAAAGGAACAAGTAAAAGTAGAGGCATCTACTTTTAGGGCTCCAAAAAGGGTGGGGTGTGGAAACAACTCGGGTGGATGTGGTTAATTAAACAATAGTTCAGCAAACATTTATTGAGGACATATGTGCCAACCTCTGTACAAGGTGAGGTACTGAGGTTAATCTAGTTAGCAAGCCAGCTGAGTAAGAAGTTGGTCTAAAGCAGGACAGGATGCCTCATCCTGCTTGAGACTCAAGGTGAAGATACAGAACTTTGTTTGCAAAGTAGAAATAGAGACACAGACGTAGAGAACAAATTTATGGATCCCACAGCGGGAAGGGGTAGTGAGAAGAATTGGGAGACCGGAATTGACACGTATACACCACTATGTATAAAATAACTAATGAGAACCTACCGCGTAGCACAGGGACCGCCACTCGATGCTCTGTGGCGCCCTAAACGGGAAGGAAACCCAGAAAAGAGGGGAGAGAGATATATGTATTTATGTATGTATGTATAGGTGATTCTGAGCACACATAGCTGATTCACTCTGCTGTATGGCAGAAACTAACACAACATTGTAACGCAGTAAAAAATAATTTTTTTAAAAAACAGATGAAGATATAACTTGGTAAACTCACATAGGTATGTAACATGGGTAAACTCACAGCTGTTTGTGAATAGGGGTCAGTAATCTCTAGGAGTCCTTGTCTGATGCCTTGCTTGTTCTTTGTGAAATAGGATGTGAAGTTACTACTTGAGAGTTAGGAAGGTGGGAGTTAGGGGACTTAAGAAGAGTGGCCATAGTGTTGAGGAGAGGATGAAAGGGAGGAGGATGAAAGAGATGACAAAAAATACTGTTATTAAGTAAGAGAATTAGGAAACAGTGTTGAGGATCTAACAGAAACCGTGAATGCATAATCCTTGGGATGCGTAACCCATTGGAATGGTGGTTGTTGTTCAGTCACAAAGTCGTGTCAGACTCTTTGCAACCCCATGGACTACAGCACACCAGGTTTCCCCATCCTCCACCATCTCCCAGAGTTTGCTCAAGTTCACGTGCATTGAGTCGGTGATGCTATCTTACCATCTCATCCTCTGCCACCCTCTTCTCCTTTTGCCTTCAATCTTTCCCAGCATCAGGGTCTTTTCCAATGAGTTGCTTCTTCACATCAGGTGGCCAGAGTATTGGAGCTTCACCTTTAGCATCAGTCCTTCCAATGTATATTCAGAGTTGATCTCCTTTAGGATGGACTGGTTTGATCTCCCTGCAGTCCAAGGGACTCTTGAGAGCCTTCTCCAGGACCACAGTCCGAAAGCATCAGTTCTTCGGCCCTCAGCCTTTTTTATGGTCCAACTCTCAATGACACCGTTGGAATGGTATCAGTTCGTTTATTTCTGCTGTTTTCTCTAGCAACACCTAGCTGCCTGGGTACAAGAGCAGAGACAATTATTATTGTGTAGATCCTGGATCATGATTTGTAGACAGATGAAGAGGATTGACAGAGGAACGAGGGGATAGAAGGTGTTGGTGAAAGGAATACTTGATTCAGACTGGGTAAGAAGGTAGGCTAAGGAAAGTATGATAAACTCAGGTCAAGAGAAGTCTTAATAAGGTCAAAGAGCAGATGATTTAGAAGTGATAAAGCTGGAAGCTCAGGACACAGTGTCAGAATGATGTTGGAGTTTAAGATTTCAGAGTTGGAACTCTTCCGTGTCATGACAAGGGCAATAGGAACAGGTGTTTCAAGTGGAGTAAAGCTAAAGCTCATTGGGGTATTAAGGAACTAAAGGAATTTTCATATCAAGCTGCCAGGGTAGGTGGCTCGTGTGTTTCAGCTTTTGTTCTATCTTATTAAGCCTAACCGCATTCTTTTTATAAAAGGAAAATTGAAGTGTCTTAACTTAGAAAGCAACAAAGCAACAATAAAAGAATTATGGGCTTAGAGTGTTGGGTCAGTAAATCAAGGTGTTTAAATGAATCTAGAATTATGCAAGACTGGGGAGGAGAAGATGAAGCCAACTTCCAGTCCTGGTATAGGAGTGACCAAGAATAGCAGAGAATATGAAGGAGAATTTAGCTTGACAGAATGAACTCCAAAGTAGGAGGGATTGCATGCAAATGTCTTGGAAAAATAAGGGCCTCAGGATGGCACTAGGGAGCTAGGAGTGTCTCAGTTCCCCCACTTTCTGATATAGGAGGGGAAAACCCTGTAGGTCTGCAAATACAGCCATGTTTGAGGGTAACTTCAGTGTAATTTAAATGAGTGGGTTGAGGGAAATTCTCTAAAGAGGAGTTTCTGTGTGAGGTATCGGAGAAATGACGGGACCAAGGTTGAAAGTAGGAGAGTTCTGCATTTGGGGCAAAGTCCAAAGATTATAGAGATGGCAACCACTTGTGCAATGAATTAGCCTTAAGGCTCCCAACTTGGTTCAAAAGTTGTTTGGTACCAGTCTTGACTGAAGGCCTCACAGGGCTATGGAGTTCAGTGTCCTCAGGCCTGCCCCTCAAGGTTCTGAGGAGAAGATTAAGCATTCCATCTCTGAAAAGACATTCTGGGAAAAAGGGAATGGAATAGTAGTTTGAACAGTGATCACAAAGAGGAACAAGTAAGCTAGATTAAAGGAACAACTAGGGTAGAGGCCTTCATTCACACCTTTATCAAGTGTTTCTTGACCTCCTACCAGGACTTTGTCATGTTCAGTGCTGCATCCCCAATATCAAGTGTTTGGCACATATGTGTTCAATAAATATTTGTTGGAGGAATAAATTATTGACTAACTTATGTTCAGATTAGTCTGTGAGTATTTGGAAAAAAGTAAAGAGTTTGACGTCTTTCAACAGTCTCTGAATGGCAGCAGTAGTGGATAAGTCAGGAAATGAAGCGTCTGAGAGAACCATGTTGGAAGGTGCATCCAAAGCTGGGTCTCCCTCTTGGAAAACTTTTGGATGAGCCACACGACTAAGAACAGGTAAAGGTCAAGTGCTCAGAATTTCAACCAAGGATTGCTTTTTCTGTGAAACATTAACTTCTGACAGGAAGAGAGCACTCAACACTGACAGCCACATTGTGGTAAAGTGGCCCCTTCAGGTAACAGAAGAGTTTTGGTATAAACGGAAGTTTTAGTGACAGAAGCACTTAGTGTTTTTATAATAGATGGACTTTTTTTGAACCTTCTTCTGATATATTTATCATGGGTAGATACTAGAGAGTAATAGAAAACATGAACTCTTAGTTCATGACTAAGACTGAACTGAGTAGCATTTACACAGTACAAAAACTTTTCTCAAATTATTCATGTTAACTGCTAGAGCAACAAGTATTGTTCTTGATCCAGTACCAGCTACCTACCTTACAGTCCCAAACCCAATTGGTAACATCAAACTGATACTTGCGCTACAATATTTATATTTTTAACTGCATATAAAACTCTCATGGTAGAAATTCAAACATAAGTAGACCTATGAGGGAAATTTGGGGGTGGGGGATAGAGATAACTTAATCTACCTTCATACACAGTCTGAATCAGGTGGATTCCTTGAACTGTCTTTCACTTTTCACTTTAGTCACCCCACATAGACACCACCTACTCAAAATATACAGGGGCTTCCCAGGTGGTGGTAGTGGTAAAGAACCTGGCTGCCAACGCAGGAGACATAAGAGACTTGGGTCAGGATGATCCTCTGGAGGAGGAAATGGCAACCCACTCCAGTACTCTCGCCTGGAAAACCCCATGGACAGAGGAGCCTGGTGGGCTACAATCCACAGCATAGGGTCACAAGGAGTCAGGCTGAATCGCCTTAACATGTATGCACACCGATATACAAAGGGGAGTCCTGGCATCGCTCAATGATCATGAGTCCTGGTTTGACATTAAAGTCCGTGTCTGAAGCATCTGTTATGATAAGGAAAGTCTGAATCACCCTCAGACTTCCTTCTATTACATTTCTGAGTCATTTCCTTTTCTACTGACCCAAACTGGGTACATGCAGGAACTATCCAAAAGTACAGAGTTTTGGAACCACAAGGACACTTGAGATCATTGAGTTCAGTGAAACTGTGGCCAAGAGATCGTGCCTTTTGCCCAGTTGCACAGGCTGTGTCAGACAGCTCGAGGCCCTCTTCCCTAGAAGCTGATCTCACAGCAGATTTGGGACTCCAGCTGAAATTTTTTGTTGTTTTTAGAAGTAAACAAACAAAATACTCAAGTTGGAAGTTTGAGAGGAATTCAGGGCCCAGGGAGATAGGATGGTGTCGCATGGTGTTCCCTTCAAGTAATCTGACCTGTCACTGGTGCTCCCACAGTGGACCAAGGAGAGGACTTACGTAGGACCAGCATGTTATAACTTTCCACCTTGGGACTATTAACATTTTGGACCAGATACTTTGTTATGGGAACTGTGGTGTGTATTTTAGGATATTAACAGCCTCCTCATCCTCTACGTACTAGATGCTCAGTGAGGACAATCAAAAAAGTCCCCAGACATTGCCATGTGTCCCCTGGGATCTGCTGGTTGGGAGCCACTGTGCTGACTAAAGGAAGAGGTTCTTGTAACTCATGCCTGGGGCTATTGAATCCTCTCAACAGTGCCCGTTATCCCTGCACCCTTGTGCCTAGATTCTCTCTCACCTTTCCCCCTGGGGCCACTAGGCCTTCATCAGATGGGATCCTCAGATGGGTGCCCTGAAAGTGGCACCTGTGGTGAAAATGGGAAGCAAAAGTTTCTGCCCTTCCCCTCTTGCACCAAGGGGATCCCCCTGGTTGGATAGGAATTTACATAATTGGTTAAAATAAGACAAAACCTATGCAAGGCTTAACTCTCAACTGTAACTGCTGTGAATCACAGAGAGAGCACAACTTTAAGCCCCTTTCCTATCTTGACAGTGGGCCGGGAAGGGGAGATAAGGGCATACCAAAGGAATCTGCCCTTTCTGCACAATTTCCCCTTGACTCAGCTGTCCTACTTCCCCTCCCCAGCCCATACTCATCCTCACCAACGCCCATATTTAGCACTGCAAGCCTGTGTTGTCATAGACAGAAACCAGATGGTTGCTATGAAGATTTGTTTACACACACACACACACACACACTCACACACACACACACCCTAGGGCATGGCCCAGACAGCAATGGCGATGAGTGGCAGTTCTTCCTGGGATGTGTTTTTCTTTCTCTTAATTTGCTGTTACCCCATCACCTCTTCTGTTCTCCCCGCGTTTTCATGCTGCTGCTTCCTGCTCCCAGATAACACTTCCTACTCACCAGTAGTGTTCTTCAACATCTCCTTTGCCTCAAGAAATCAGAGTTTAAGAACAGACTTACTTAACCTCCACCCCTTAATCTGTAATATGAGGAAAGTTATAATACAAACCTTAGATGGCTTTTGCTAGAATTAAATTAGATATATATAAAGAAACTTGTGACTGACAAAGTACATTCTCAATGAATGGAATTTGTTCCTATGCTAAAATAAAGCCTGCTTTGGGGCACCTGGGAACCAGCCACAGGTGCCTTTGGAAATCTTGGCTCATGCTTTCTCTTTGATGGAAGAAGGAAGCTATTGAGGGAGTGTCCTTTGTCCTGTAGAATTATAGAAGAGCAGAATTGGGGGGGCGGAGATTGCCTTGTTTTTTGCCTTTGTCATACTCAGTTGGAAAGCTCTTTGGGGAAGGAAAGTCTGCATACTTGATCTCTTCCTCTCTGCAGTCTGAAATGAAGGCCATGGGAAAGAAAAGACACAAGACGTGAAACCATTGCCTGGCTGAAATGGAAGCACGTAAAGGAGGCAAAGTGTTCTCTGGGTCTTGGGCTCTGTCTACTCTTCTCCAGCAGACCCCTCTCCAAGAGGAGCCTGCCTATGTCGGAGTAGCAGGCTGGGGCTTATTCCTACTGTAGATTCTGTGCATGGTGTCTGTTGATTTTGGGGGGAGAAAAAAAAAAAGAAAAACCTGGAATTTTCTGGAACTTCCCTGGTGGTCCAGTGGCTAAGACTCTGTGCTGCCAATGCAGGAGGCCCAGGTTCCAACCCCTGGTCAGGGAAGTAGATCCCACTTGCCCCAGCTAAGACTCAGCACAGCCAAATAAATAAATAATTTTTTTTAACTGGAATTTTCTAATATCAGATAGAGAGCAGGTACTTCCACCCCTGAAAATAGGTAAGATTTCTTTTCTTCAGCTTGAATTTAATATGGAACTATGTTTCTACAGGAAGTCTGAGTTCTTCCCAACACACTGAGGAAAATAGAAGAAAACATTATGTACCTTGCCTTTTCACCTCTGTCCTGTGTCACAGAATAGACATTTGCTGTCCTATTTTTACAGGTTAAAAAAAAATTTTTTTTTTTGATTGAAAAAAGAAAGATAAATTCTAAACCGAGAATTGTGGTTACATCTGGAAGGGAATTAGAGGAATGGAATTGGAGGTGATAAAGGAAATTTAGTCTCATCTATGATGTTTTGCTTTTGTTTACAAAGAGTATTTATGTATTAACTATGTGATTAAAATTAAATTTTGAATAGGAAGACTATTTTAAATAGTAAGACTATTTGACAAACTTTTAATGAAGCTCAGAAAAGGTAATTTATCTAAGGTCATTTGATAATTACAGACTCCAGAGTCCATGGCTGCCTACCACCCCCATCCCAACCCAGAGCACGTGTCCTGTGCATGCCCTCATAGAGAACTAGGTTTGGAGCCAAGAAGGAGTCCTGAGCTTTCCCTCTGCTGGGCGGTGGGGTCACTGTAGTGGACCCTAGACCTTAGCTTGCTTTTTTACTTTTTATATCACTAAAGGGAAGTGTAATCACACCATGTCAGACCAAGCTGATGACAACCCTGTGACTTGGTCTGTGAAGTATGACTGAATCACACAGACTCAAAGGGAATAGGGAAGGATGTAAAGCAGGATTGACAAAGGAGATTATGTTTTGCACTTAAGATTTTAATTGGATGTTTCAGCTGGGGTACCAAGATATAATAAATATGGAGTTCCAAAGGGTGACACCAGACAGAAGTGCAGAGGTTTAAAGGAAATTACCAAGGACCCACTCCACAGTTCTTGAACCCTCTTATCCATTTTAAGAGTATAAAAAGTGGAGACAGGGTTTACAAGGGAGATTTCTTTGGAGAGAGCTAGGACCCTGTTGTGAGTCACATCCAATCTGGGGGAGAAGGTGTAGGCAGTACTCCCCTCTTTTCACTGAAGCATCTGATGTTTGTTCCTAGGTTAAGAGGTGGTCATTAGACTGTGTATGACTCACAGGAGAGGAATTTCAAGGCAAAAGTTGGCTAACAAGGGAGTCTGCGGTAACAGAGCTACATCTTGGAAGTAACTGCACCCCCTTCTGACAAAGGGTCAAATGTACATGAATCCTGGGAACTGAGTATGGAGCCAGTTTCAATCCTGCTCAACAGAACTCCTGGAAACACAGTGGGACTCTTAACAAAAGGTCCTGTGTAGAATGGACCTCTGGGATACAAAAGGATAAGAGAGGGAGTGGCAGCCATAGAAATACATTGTGTCATGTCGCTTAACTTCAGGGAAGCTGATGTTGCCTTTGGAGGGCCCAGCAAGGGAATCCTCTGATGGATCCCCACAAATGCCCAGGAGACAGTCAGCTTTCAACATCAGCATGAGAGGTGAAGCCACCAAGAACTTTCCTCCCACTTCCGTGTGCTCCTTCGCAGGAGGCATCAGTGTCAGCATCTAGGAAGTAGAGAAGCCAACGACTGCCCTTCCACAAAGCCAGCTTGCCGGCTGTATCGGTCCTAACTCCTAACCGTGGCAGGGGGTGAGGGGGCCGGGGGTGGAAACGCTCTCACCTGAAATGAAGACTGATGTGTTTGTTCAAATATTTCTGAATCATGAGTATGTTCTGCTACTACAGAATTGAACTTTAATTTTTATTACATCCCTTCAATTGGTACTTGTTAAACATTCCAACTATCATATTTGTAGTTATTCTATGAGGCATTTAATTGGCACTCATGGAATGAGATTATTCCTTCCAGTTTGTAGTCTGAAGTACTTTTGAAAGGCTAAGATCCTCTCCACAATAAAGCTACTCTAAAGAAGGGAGTTTTAGGGACTTGGGGTTTGATAAATCGGGCTGAGACCAAGGGAATTTAAAATAAGACTCAAAGTCATTTGGGACCTTGAGGATCAACTAGTTCTAATTACTTCTGAATTAACCTTTTCCACAGCACCCTGCCAAGAGATCATTTAGTTTTTTTCTTGAATAACTCCAGTGTCTTAGAATTTAACACTGTCTTCGCCCTCTTAAAACTCTTCAAGTGTGTGAGGACAGCCTCTCTATATATCCCATTTCACTAGTCTAAACATTCTCCCTTCCTTCAGTTATTGCTCCTTGACCTGGTGTGGACTTCTGGCATCTCCCTGACTATTTTCTGGATGAGTTCCAATGGTGTCAATATGCGTCTCTAAGTTTAGTTCAGATATGACCTGCCTGACTGAGGCAAGAAGAAGTAAATCATCACCTCCTGGTTGTAGGCTTGGACTGTGAGAGAGCCTTAGGTCCTCTCAGATTTTCTTCAGTGTGAACCCTATCACACCATTGACTCATTAAAACTAATTAAAACCTAGAGGTGTAGGGGATGAAATAGAGTTGTTTTATTATTATTTTATGAATAATATATGAATACATTTGCTTTATAAAACTTGTAAATAATAGAGATTAAAATCTTCATTTAAAACCTTGATTATTTCTCAAAACCTGGTCCTTTAGTTATACATCTTTCCAGATTTTTTTCTGCCTATTTATATATTTAGAAATACGTAGTTGTATAGGATTTTTTAAACATACACAGTACCGGATCGTTTGTGTTATTCTACATCTTTTTTCACTGTAATTCAGACACTTTTTCATATATGCACATATAAAGCTATCTCACTCTTTGTAGCTGCCATAGTAAGGATCCCATAATATGTGTAACAGTTTAACCATTGTGTTGTTGGGACAGAAAACTGAACAATAGTAGGCTCCATTGTCAGACTTCACAGAGGAGGAGTCTGAGTTCCATATCTCAGGCCAGAATGAGAAACATTAAAATTGAAATGTAAACCAAGTTTACTGCCCCTTTCAAGTTTAAACCCCTTTCAAGTTTACTACTCCTCATTGTTGTTTTTGTTTGTTTTTCTCCAGAGCATCTCAGCTAGGCTTGGCCCTTTGGTCTTCCAAGTAAGTTTTGGCATCAGTTTATCCATTTCCTTATTTGGAACTACATTTAACCTATGCATCACTTTGAAGGAGAACTGACATTTTTACAATTTTGAGTCTTCCTACATGTGAACATGATTTGTGTCTCTATTGGGTTTTGTTTAATGTATTTCAATAGAATTTTATAATTTTCTCCCTATAGTCTTACACAGAGTGAAAGAGACTGCTAGTTATGCTTCCTTTCTTCTATAACAACAGAATTCACAGTTTTTAGCTGGGTACACAGACACTCAGAATAAAGACTGTATTCTTAGAATAAAGACTCTCTTGCAGGTAGGAGACTATGTAATTAATCTCTAGTGATGTGTGCTTGTGCTGTCGCTAAGTCATATCTGACTCTTTGAGACCCTTTGGAGTGCAGCCCTCCAGGCTCCTCTGTCCATGAAATTTTTCAGACAAGAATACCACAGTGGGTTGCCTTTTCCTTCTGCAGGGTATCTTCCCGACCCAGGAATCAAACCCATGTCTCCTGCATCTCTTGCATTGCAGACGGATTCTTTACCACTGAGCCATCAGGGAAGCAGTAATTTTGAGCTAACAGGATGTTAACAAAAAAGATATAAAACTTCAGGGAAGTTTTAACTTCATTAAAGAAAGCTAGATAACCCTTTGCCTACCCTTTTCTACTTCCTGGTGGTTAGAATGCAAATAACATGGGTAAAGCTAGCCATCTTGGACCATGAGGTAGAAAAGTATGTTTGAAGATAGTAGAACAACATAATAGAAGGAATATAAGTTCCTGATCATTATGGAACCACCATGCCAACTCTGGGTTTGTTCGAAAGGAATAAGAATGAATATTGGATAAGGCAAATAGCAATGTCTGTCACAGCCCAGCAGGCTCCTCCGTCCATGGGATTCTCCAGGCAAGAATACTGGAGTGGGTTGCCATTTCCTTCTCCATTCTGAAGGGCTGCTGCTAAGTCACTTAAGTCGTGTCCGACTCTGTGCGACTGCATCCCTGGGATTCTCCAAGCAAGAACGCTGGGGTGGGTTGCCATTTCCTTCTAC